ATTTATATAAAAAAAAAAATGTATGTATATGGAACATATAATAAAGACTGTTAGCGTATTGCTTACTTTTTAATATAAAATTTTATTACATTATAAATTTATTTACATTAAACTGAATATTAATTCTAATGGTTTGTAAGTAATTACTGAGTCATCAAGTTACAGTAGAAGCTCCACTGTTTTTCGAAATTTTTGCTATTTCGTCTTTAAACTTAGCAATTGTTTCCTTTGCTAGTGTCAATTTTTCTTTAAACTCTACGATCTCGTTTTTTATCTTAGTCTTAGCATCTAATATTTCCTGGAGAGCTTGTTCTTTTTTAGCTTCAACTGAAAAATTTTGATGTTTGAGCTAGTTTTTTTTTTTGAAAGACAAGAATTGTATCATCTGTAGTATATTAAATATACTTACAGTCAGTTTCATGTCGCCAGACACCGTTGGTCAGTGGTTTTGTTGAGTTCAACAAATGTTGCATGAGAGCGGTAGGATCTTGAAATATGATTTCATCGTACGACTCGGATACCAAGCTCTTTTTTATGACTTGGCCATCAGGTGACGTTTGAAATAATTTTAAGACGTGGTAGGCCGTGATCTGAAATGCAATAAAAAGGTCAGTAGTGAAGAAAATTTTCAAACAGGAACAATAGATCGGACACATGTCTGACTAACAGGTCTTTCGTTGGGATCATGAAAATAAATTTTGATGACAATTTCGAATTCTCCCCAGCCAGTTTCCGTCAATTCGTAGGGTGGCTTTGTCACTATCCTATTTGGATTGTTGTAACTCTCATGGAGTTTGAAATGAATTTTCTTAACGTAAGCCGACATATCCTCATTGTTGTAGGGCTTGACGTAAACCGTCCACTGATGGGTATGGCCATCTTCTTCCCTTTTTTTGCCAAAATAGCGTGCAATATTACCATACACAATTGGCTTAACAATAGTCACACCCTAAACAACGATATATTCCATGTTATCACAACTGGCATTGTTATTATCAATGAATCATAGTAAAATGATAAAAGTGTAAAAGAAATACTATGTGGAACAGACACTTTTAGATAATAAAAACATATTAACCTTTACTCTGCCTCCCGAGTCGGGACCAAATTCAGTTGTACATGACATTTGTGAATATCTCATCTATTTGCAAAACAAACAAAAAATTACTTGTACTTTATATGATCACCATTTTTGGAGATGAGGATAAATATTGGATTTGTAATAATCAACATGTTTATTGTTTATCGGAGTGCTTCGAGTCGTTCGGTGTGTGTTATTTTCTCTTGCACGAATCGCAGCAACCCCAACCAACCCCTAAGAATAAATATATAGATATACAGAAAAATAAAACGACAATATACTTACCCTGAAGCAGTAGAGATAAACTCTCGATTCGACTAACGGTAACGAAAAGTTGCAAGGTGAAAAGTATATATGTATGTATAGGTATTATGTTTATTAGTTGCTTATTTGAACACCGTATAAGAGATCAACTGATCAGAACTATCCAGTAAATCGCTTCGGCAGTCCCCGTCCTATACCACTCCAATGTCCAATCTCCAATCCACATCAGCAAATAAATAATGCAGCCGCTGCAGTTTCAGACAGCCAATCGGACAATTAAAATATTCCATTGCCGACTGCCAACATGTTAGTATTGGTGGGGTCTTTTTTTATTATTATAAAATAACTATTCTCCTCGGTACTGTTGCAAAAAAAAAACCATTATCATGGCTACTTACAATATTGATTCATGTATATATATAATGGTGTAAAAATTATTTCTATTATTCACCTTTTTTTTTATCGGTACACGCATTTGGGTAGCAGTTTACATTACCGACTGTCAAGTGTCAGGAAGGTTGCGATCGATCGCTCGACGTGGAGGGGGAGGGGCGAAGAGGCAAATATAAATGCTACCAATAGCAACTTCTACAGAGGTAAAAAATAAACATCCGCATGCGTTTGACTTGATCAAGTATTCATTTCAAAGGGAACGTCTTGTGAATTGTTGGATTAAATACTTGAAAAGACCTAAACATGACGACCGACGAACAAAAATTCGATGGGTTATTGTTGTCGTTGGCTCAACAGCACGAAGGAGGTGTCAAAGACGTAAGTTCAAATCGTTTAAATTACGTTTACCGGCTTTTTCACATTACTCTTTGTAGGTTATCTTTCACTTTTTGTTTCCTCTTTTTCCTCCTTGATCAACAGCTCAGTTTTAACAATAAGTCAATTCAATTTTCAGCTGCTTGAAACGATATTCAGTTTTTTGGCTAGAAAAACAGACTTTTACACAGGTGGAGGAGAAGGAGCAGCAGAGAAGGTATTAGCCAATTTTGATGACACAATGTGGTACTTTGAGGCTTTTGTGCAGTTATCTTTCAAACTGGGCTATTTTTTTTCAGCTTGTTATGAGTATACTAAAAAAGTACGAAGCCACAGCAGTAGCTAGGACAGAAACAGAAAAAGCTGAACGAGCTGAACAAGAAAGAAAGAGGAAGGAAAAACTTGAAAAAAAGAAAAAAGAAGAGCAAACTGCATCGTTTGAGAGTCTAACTGATGATGCAAAAATTGTAGAACTCACGGATGAACAGGCCAGCAAACTTCAAAGTGAAATAGATGCCAAAGTATGTGATTTTTTTTTGCGCTCTCTATTAACAGTTTACATACAAATATATCTTGATCCTTGTAATTTTTTTGCAGAAATCGGTAGAAGAAAATAAACCTAGTGTCAGTACAAGTAGTACTGAAGATAAAAAAGATATCAAAGTAGATGAAGAAGAAGATGAAGAAGAGAAGAATAAACTGAAACCTAACATTGGCAATGGTGCTGATTTGCCAAATTACAAATGGACACAGACTCTTCAAGATCTCGAGGTAAGTCAAAACAATTTGTTTCTGCATTGCTTTTTTTAAAACGCATGTTTTCAACTTTCATACCATCGAATAATAGAAAAATAAAACGGTATAGCTCAGTTGACCAAGGGACACGTTTTAGTCAAGTTGCCATTCTGAGATATGGCTCCTTTAGTAAGGTGCGAGTTCGAATCTCTATGTTGATTGCGTTCACTCATTTATTTGAGGTTTTTTTTGTGACTTGCGTTCTTATAGGTCGTAACAGAGGATAGGTAAGAGGGGAAAAAAAAAAAGGAGAAATAATTCAATATATGATATGAAAATTTCTTATTGTTACAATAGTTACAGTAAAAATAATCAATTGACTAATACATAAATAATAATATCACAGATACGAAAGTTTAAGATGAATAACAATAATGATAAATCGCTCAAATCCACATTGTTTTTTCGGATGAACAGAAAAACAAGTGGACATTAATATACGTTTCAACACATTTCGATGCCGAGTGACTGTGATGCGCCAATAAACGTGGTGTCCGTCGAATCGAAAATACCCGAAAAATCGTTTGTGCATCTCCGATTTGAGAAATCCACGTGGCACGAAAAGAAAAGAAGAAAAAAAAAGTAGATAAACTCCAACTCGCGTGTCGTAGAGACTCCGCACAATTAATTAACGCATACAAGAGAGCAATGAGAATTAGTTTAACTATATGGAATTTTCAGCTATCAACGTAAATTATAAACACGCGAGCGCTACATGCACGAAGCCCGAGTATAAAGTCCTCTGGACCCGTCATACTGTACTCGGGCGTGCACCGTTCGCCATTACGTATAAAAATACTGCTCAGATTGCTTGGAATTCTCCGGACTCGCTCGGCATATAGCGACGAGAGAACGAACTGGGCGTCCGACGCGTTGTCCTCGGGCTCAGTTGTAGGAGGACCTACTCTTGACTCTCACTGAAACGACAAGAGAGAAACAATGTAAAATCACGACTCCGCTGTGCCAGTAGTATGTTTACACACAAGCGTGTACAATACTCACTGTCCATGTAGATGACACCAGCAAGAAGCCCGATCATGAAGAGGAAGCTCATCGTGCACACGAGAACGGTGAGCTGGTTGCGGGCGCACCAGGACTTGCGGTAGCCACTGTTTGGCCGGCTGAGGCCGTTCACCATAGTGAAGTGGGTACTGCTCGCGACGGAGGCTGTATCAAGCTGCTTCGGTGCGGTTATCCGGGGCGGATGCAACGCCGCCAGGTTGGCCAAGTTCGCCGCGGTCAGCAACAACGTGCCCGAGGCCGCGCTCTGCGTGCATCACATTTCAGATCAAACAACATTCATACGAAGCAACGTGCGGGTAATACGTCTCAATGACTTACGTGAGTACTGGCGTTGGAGCCCTGGGAGGAGGTCGAGCCCCGGGAAGGCACGTCCAGCTGCTCGGGTCGTTTCCACGTGCCGTCGACCTCGCTGCCGGCGCTCCTACCGAGCAGGGAAGGTCTCGGGATGTGCCAGGTTCTGTCGCCCGTTGTCTGTTCGGCCAGTGTTGCGGCGCTCGGCCTGTAGGCCTGCAAGCACAATGGAAAACACGCCGACATCAATATTTAAAGCATATACATGCACGAGAAATCTTATTGGCCGAGATCGCACGAGGTGGAGGATCGAATCTCTATTACGGAGCCCCTGGGGGGGGGGGGGGGGTCGAAACCGGTGAGTTGCGTCACGGCTGTCGTGGCCTATGTGCAGCGTAACCCGCGTGGGCAGGTATTTAGGTAAGAGTCGCGGCCTTCGCTCGCGTGGAAGCTCATCGAGAAAGTTCCGGTTTCGCTTTTCCCTGATGGACTCGTTAGTTTCGGAAAATACCCGGCCTTTTCATCCGTACGTGTACGCGTGTGGGAGCTGTTGATGGGGAGATGGCCCGAAGCTCGTTTAATTGATTCTCGGCTCGGAAACTCGGTCGGGACCTTCTCTAGGTCGTCCACGATTTACGTCCGTCGAAATTTATGATCCTCGAGGCGCCGAGAAACAAAAAAAACCGTACGCCGCCAGTTTCTCTCTCTCTCTCTCGCCGGCCGTGTCTCGCTGGGACTTACAGTTTTTGCCTCTCCCATTTTTTTTACTCGTCTCCGTTGTATAGCGCTACCGATGTTTTTTTTTTTTTATATTCCTTCGCATTTGGGAATCTCCGCGAGTTTTTTTTTTCCACCGTCGTTCCACACATTTTTGCCGAAACTTTAATCATTATCATTATCGGGGTACAGTACGAAAAATTCCCGGCGTTTCGTACAGATGCACGTTGTTGGCGCTACTTTTGCGTTTTTCGTTCCACCGTTTTGATTTTCTTCATGGCCTGTGGAGAAAAAGACGCGTTTGTAATATTTTCCAACTTGGAGCGAAAAATTTTTAAGCAGAGGTACTACTTGAATCGAAACGCTTCTAGATTGTGCAACTCAAGGCACACCGTCAATATATCCTGAGGTCTGCATCGATCAACGGAACAATTCGACCCGAGAGTATATATTATCTACCAATGAAGGATCCGGATGATAATGCTCGTTGTATACCAGCGTAGTTTGCGCAATCGAGTAAACAGCAACAACGAAACTCGAGGGGGAAGTTCATACCGCACCCGGTGTACAGAAGACGTACGTTCATAGAAGAAATTGACAAGTTGCGATCAGTCCCGCTCAAGCCGCAAGATTTTTCTTCCGACGCGGAATTCATTTGTTTCCCGTTGTACAAAATAATGGTGGTAGTTGGAAAGTCATGGACGACGCAATGATTATTTCCCCTGGCTTCCTCAAGTATTTATCGCGCGTACAAAGGCCCTTTTGTATAGTGTACTTTTCAAGTGTATATTTTCGATGCCCGTGGAAATAGTGTACAAGCGCGTGGTCTAATCAGTCCCGTAGAGTGCGTTGAACCTCATTTCGTATTCAAAAGGGAGAGGAAGGAGCAATACAATAAACAGGACGATAATCGAGATGAAAAATAACGGTGACTCGCGAGGATGAGCCAAAAAGAGAGAGAGGGAGGACAGAGGTGTAACGTGTATTATATATTTGTACTACTACCTTGGAAACATGGGGGACGCGCGTACACAACGCGTGTACCTGTGTATTTATAGTGAAAGTTGTCAAATCGTTACGTGCGCGGCGATGGGTTTTTTTTTCCCCCCTATCCTACCTCGTCTTCTTATTCAAGATCACTCAACGCGACAAGAGGAAAAAAAAAAAAAAAAAAAAAAAAAAAAAAAAAAAACACGAAGGATGCATTTCGCAACGGCGCTTCCGAGAGACGCCCATTTGCACGTAACAGCTGCAGATTAGAAAAGAGGAAGCGCTGGTCCACGACCGCTGCCGATGTGGGTGTAATCCCGAGCTCTTTCCGCGCGCGATAGAACAACCGAAACCATAATTGTATCAATCCAAAAAAAAAAAAAAAAAAAAAATGTATGTAATCGGTACGCGACAAACGATCTTACGAATCGGCTTACAGCTCTGGAATACCTCGTGAGAAAAGTCACGTTCGCGCGTGCACGTAGAATTTCACTGTTAGCAAGCGAATAAGATCTCCTTAAAATAAATAATACACATGGCCATCAATATTACCAAAATGAAACACATGTAAATAGCTCTCTCGCCCCCGTGCACAATGCACCGAGCCGATCGATCTCGCGATCAGTTATCGTTATCTTGAATGACCGCTCGACACGCAGACAGCGTTTCTCAATACTTGTTAGTTAAGTACCACCAAATTTTTTTTCTTTCAACTCGCTGATACCCTACGTATAGCGCACGTTATATATACTTGTGGTCTTACAAGCTGTCACGGCTAAGAAATCGATCGATCGGTAAGCACCACCGCGTGCGCGCACTCTCGGTCCAACTTGACATTCGTACGCGTGTAACTCGGATACCCACCCCTCTCGCTCACCGAAATCTCGCGTGCCAAGGATTGGATTAGATTAATTCTTTATTCAAACCTTGTGGTATAACCACGTATGGTTCTCAAATAATTTACAGATAATTAATAGAATAATAGGATACATAACAATTAATAACAATGGATTAAGAATACAGTGAAGTTGACAAAAGTAATAGTTCGCAATATACATATAATTAGAATTGACAAAATAATTAATAAAATTGGTAATAGTAATAATCGTGTAATTTGGCAATAAATAAATTTAACGTNCAATTGCCAAGATAAAAAAGAAGAAAAGAATTATAACAGACAGAGAAAAGAGCCGTTCAGCGTGGGCTGGAAAGAAAAAAAAAAGGGGAAAAAAACAGCCGCTCCCGATCTCTCGACGCATTTCACAAGATTGTATCGATCGCGTTGTTATACATACGAAACACCTACTCCACGGAGGGGCCAGGCCGGATCACCTACTCCATATTTATCATCATCAACTGGCCATTGCGAATGGGAATAACGCCGGGGGGCCAGCAGCTGTGCTCGAAAAAAAAAAAAAAAAAAAAAAAAAAAGGCGTCTACTTACATTGAAGCCGGGCGCAAGCTCGTGGCCGGCAAACTGATCGGTCGCGTGAATGTTGATCCTGACGTCGGACATACCGGTGACGGGCGCACTACTATGCGTGCTCGATTGTAACAAAAAAAAAAAAAAAAAAACGCAATCTGCGGGTCGAGGGTGTAGAGCTTTGCAAGCCCGTGCGTGCGAATGAACGGTTGGTTCGGCGCTATAAGGATACACGCGAGCGCGACGCTCTTTCTCTCTCGGCGAGCCGACTGGCTCAACTGCCGGCTGCGCGTGGCTTTTATACCCTCGGCTCTCCCACTTGCGTGTATGGCCGACGCGCGTTTTACGCATCTAGGATCGAGAGCTGCCCGCGGCCCAGCATCCCCAGCATCTCGAGGATATCCTACCCCTTCGTCGCTATGCTCGTTGTTTTATTCGCGCTCGCCCGCTGCTTCTTTCGATTCGTTTTCCCTGGATGTGCGGGTTTCAATTACTCGAGTATACTTGTGTCTGGCGCGCCGGGAAAATTTGGAGTTGGACGTTTTCTCTTTTACTTTTGTACGAGCAGGTCTCTGTATCTACCCTTTAGGGGGAGAAAAAAAAAGGCTCGTGTACTGTTCGAGTGAGTCCATGGCGATTTTTCGTTCCTCAAACTGGTCATGTATGAAAATCATCGGTGGATCGGATCGTTGAGCCATTTCTTTCTGTTTTCGAAATTTGTCAAGTAAATTGTGTTTTGCCACTTGTACGCGCGTGTACTTGACGTATCCCACAACCGTTAACGAGTGGGGCTCGTCGCTGCATGGTCTCGAGCTCGCAAAAACATAAATCATCAAAACACAAATCTTCGGGGTGTTTGTTTTTCTTTCGTCGCCTCTGATATTCCCGATGAGCTAAGCACGCGTCATGCAAATTTTCAAAGCGTCGATGAACTTTGCAACTTTTGCATTGCAAAAAGGTAACGTATGGAAATGGGCACAGAGGTCACCGAGGACCCTCTATTTTTTTTTTTTTTTTTCTTCTTTGTTTAACGGGTAAACAAAGGACTCAAAGAAGCCTAAAACAACAAGTAGCTGTGTTTCGAGTTGCTTCATTTGTTTTCGACAATTTTACGATTTTAATGCAGGTTAAAGTCGCTACACAAATGCAATGCATTACATATACCACAAGTTACGCTATACAATATACCTATACTTATACAGTGTGTAGTGTTGAATATGTTTTTTCGTCTCCTCTGACGAGACGTCTGACTTACGTCAGTCTGGTTTTTTTCCTTCTCTCTCCCATATACCCGGCGTCCCTCTCTTTCTCTCTAGCCAAGTTACAACGTATATAGGCACGTTGATTTCGTGGCGCCGAAAATAATTTTCAGCGCCGCGTTAAAGACGATATTAAGGATAACACGCCATTAATCACTATATCGGAAGGAATGCGACGGTGTGCGATGTCTTATTTGCGTTATTGGCCGTTCGCGCGCTCGAAAAAACCTTGACAATCACATTCACGTGTGTACATTTGCGTGTGTGCGCATGGCCTGAAAACTCAATGTGTATCATTATAAAATTACCCCGCGTCAAAGATCCAAATGGGATTTACGAATAACCAACCCATCCGGGTCTATTATAGTTTTATATACGACGCCGATAAATTATGCCAATCGATCACGGTGTGTGGATGCCGATGAAAGCTAGATTGAACCTTTTTTTTTTTTCCTTTTTTTTTAGACTCTATTGGCACTCAGGTGGGCCTAATATATTTTTATTTAGAGCAAACAACGTACAACTATACCCGTGAATGGTCCATTTTTTTTTTTTTTTTTTTTGTGAAAAAATAATAATAATAACACGGAAGTGGTATCTACTTGGTGCATTTGACCGAGATGTGTATGGTAAACAAAGAATCTTTCTTGAAACATTTACATTCAATTGGAGCTCAAACCCAATTTGTGGGCGGCTCAGTACTCGTACCAAATTTTTTCGTCTGTGAAAAACAAAAAATAATCATCATCACCCAAACTGTGTACACATTTATGTTGCTTTTTGCCCGTAAATTTTTTGATTAATGTACATAATCGATAAAAGTTGCAAATTTCCACCAGTACACCATGACCTTATTTTTACGTAATTTTTTTCCCCCCTGAAGATACATTTTACCGAGAAAAGTTGTAAAAAAAGTTTTTGGGTCGTACATTTTACGTGGAGGGTGCGACACTGATGTTATCAGTGCCAAAATAATAAAAAGTAGAGGAAAAAAAACGGTTTACATCACGTTAAAGTGAGAAACAAAAATTGTACCAAAGATCCATATAGATCAAGATATTATATCTCCTAAACAATGAAAATAGTTGCCACCCAGTCGAGGTAATTGTAATATAAACGTTTTGAGCATTTGGCTGTTGTATAAGAAACAGTGACAGTCTCATGCGCATGAAAAAAAAAAAAAAAAAAAAAAAAATCAAAGTCATCTCGTGAAATACATGTACAGACAAACAAACAGACAACATCATATGATGAAAAAGCCCGCACGAGTTAACATAATCGACGCAACGCGCCTTACGCGAGCAATGAGTTGGTACTTGTATACTTACAATGTATACTCGAGTAACGCATAAGTAAAAGAGCGGCACTCATCGTCCCAAGAGATCAACCTGTAACGTAATGCACAACGGCGGTTCTTTCGGTCCACTGATAGATACGCATCAAGTACCGTGTATTCGTCACTCCTCGAGCGCCTCCGGCTGTAAATACACGACACACACACGCGCACACAACTCGAAAGAAATTTCAGAGGCTCGCGACTGTATATGACAGGTATGTATACACTCTGGTGGATGTACCGTTGGCTCGCGAGCTGGAAAACGCGAGGGACAAAATACTTTGCCGTTGTCCCGAGATGCTGATCATGCTGGCCGTCAAGGTTTTCCGTCCTCGTAAAAGGCTACTTGCCTACACCTCATTATCTATCCGCGCATTTGTATATATATATATTGCACACATTGTACGTACATCATTTGTGTACAACACCTTGGTGGGCCCGGCGCTGCACGAGTCATCCCACTTGTCTTGTACAATGCTCGCGTATCGGTAAAACCCCGCTTGGAAATACCCCCGAACTCGCTGCGATAAACAATAACAAATAACGATAAATAGACGATCCCGAGGAGCCGTGACGTATATGGGTACTTGAGTTGGACGAAAAAACGAAGCTGACGGATGTGAGTACTTTTATATATATATGGAGCCGCAAAAAAAAAAAAAAAAAAAAAATGGACCAGATCGCGCCGAGGCAAACAAACAAACAAAAACCCTACCACTACGTTCTCGAGCTTTTAGGTATAGGTGTGTATATGGTACGCCTAATATACTTGGGGGGGGGGGTACAATTTAATACAATGGGTATAGTGTATATATATATGCATCAATCAGTGCGAAAATGTACCGGTGTGTAGTGTGAGTCGAGTGACGCCAAGGTCGAGGTGTCGTATCTATACCGATTTACAGCCGATTTCCTCATACGTCAGCAGCACCTCGGTGCCCGGCCAAAGTAATCTAGATATACATAATACAAGTGCTGCGTTTCAGTGGGCCCATGTGTGTGTGTGTGTGTGTATACCCATTACAGTACAACATTCAACATATTATCCCTTGCATTGCACGCGTGCATGTGTAACACATGGACGTAAGGTCGAAAGGGATTGGCTTGCTCTCTCTCTGTCCATAAGTATACCCATTATATCCTGCATCACGTGCGCACACCGCTCGTTTATCCCCCTCAAATACGTCATCGGGTGCGTTTTTTTCTTCTCTCTCTCTCTCTCTCTCTCCTTATTCTCTGTACATACCGTTTCTTTTTCCCTCCCCTCTACACCGCGCTCTTTGTGCCCCTTATCTCTCTCTCTCTCTCTCGAACATTTAATCGCCTCGCTAATTGCGCCAAAAGCCATGAGGTCGCGGACAAACGTTTTTCCACGTGATTATCCGCCGAAACGTGATACTTGGTCGAAATGAGGAAAAAGCTCGTCTAGCAAAAAAAAAAAAATCATCTTTCCTTTGTATAATACATCACTCGCTGTTGTGGGTTGTATACACATTGTAATGACGATACTTGGTCGGTGCGCGTGCATCCCGCGCGATCAGCCACCGGGGCACAATTGATCCGTGGCTATATTCATGTATACATTACATTGGTGACGTAAACACGTGCGTGCCAATTTATGAAAATTGATAATTGCATATGAAAGGAAAAAAAAAAAAAGAAGAAGAGAAGAACGAGGTGCAGCAACCGCAGCAGCAGAGATTGCATTTCCGCGTCTGATGCTGAAGTACATACGGATGCTCATCACCCGTACAATTATTATTATTATTGTAGGTGCACGTGTCGCGGCGCACGAGGGAGAGACACAGGCGGCAAAGGAGCTAATGTGGATAATTGTCGGTTCCCAATGAGCCGGATCTTACATATATACACAAAAATTACTAATACCCGCAGCCAATCGATGATGATGGTTATCGACTCATTCGGCACCACCTCGAGAGTACGTGTTCAATAAACGCGGGCACATAAGGCTCCTTTCGTTTTTCTTTCGCTCCGCGAGATCTTGAACGTATAGTAATGACAACACGACCGGGGCGTGCGGTAATATATACTGTTACTTTTTCTCGACTACATGCCCCCCCCCCACCCTCCTTGCACGCCGTTTTTTTTTTTTTCATTTTTCTTATGAATCCTTAATAATCGGCACCATTAACATTTAATGGCCATCAGGAAATTGTAAAAGTAATTGTTTTGCGCTCTCTTTGTTCGAAAAGTGTGCAATATAATATACACGTGTGTTTGTATAAGGTGATTCTCACACTCGTTGAATGATTTACTGCTGCTCTGCACACAAACACACATCGCGTCAGCATCATTCATTCATTTATTATATATATATATTTGTGCGATTGTTCGTGTATACCCAATGGCGCGGTCGCTGTCTTGTTAGTTGAAAATCATTCTTCCCGAGCTCAACTAGCGTTATTATCATACAATTTTTTTATTTTTTTTTTCCTTCCTTCTTTTTCCCATGTTATACAGTGCACACCGAGTTATAAAAGCCAATTGCCGTTCAAGGCGCTTGTACGGCTTGTGCGATGGTTTCGCAAAAAAAAAAAAAAAACTTTGTTTTGGCTTGTTTATTGTTTTCCCAAGTTGTTGAACGATCCGCCGAAAAATGATGAACTGTCCCGCGAGTATTGCTGTTTCTCCAGCGCTT